AAAGATATAAATAAAACACAGGTTATAAAGTAGCCAAACCATATTTTTATCAAATAAGATAGTAGATGTATTTATAACTCATACTTATAAGAATAGTAAAAGTACAGTGCTATACAAGGAGGTAGGTCGGTGATAAGTTATAGTGTGTAGAGAGGAAAGATGGGAAAGGAAAAGATGGTTGGTATTGTATATGCCATACAGGACCAGAACTACTAATTCACACTCATAGTATTCCATCCACAAGAAGAAAGAGGCTTGAAAACACTGCCTGAGTTAGAGGATGGCCTGTATAAGGGATAATATTGAGGGGATGGGTAGTGGAAACTTGCCAGCCATCTCCCCCTTTCGTTTCTTTACAATTACACTGCTAAAAATTTGTAAATCTCAACAAAGAAAACTTTAGTTCTGGCTTGCATTGTTTCCCAGACAGTGTGTGTAGGTTTTGCCAAAAGGGTAATAACCCTTTACGTGAGTTTGGATACAGTCAGGTAAGGCTAGTAGAACCTTAGCTTTAGTGTCTTTTTTCTGTTTTATAGATCTACTGTCAACCTAAGGGCAAACCTCCCAAAAGCTAAGGTTGGCAAATCTTTTCTGAGCTATGGTATAATACCAAATACCTCCAGAGTGCTGTTTTCATTCATATAATCATTCAAAAGAAATGTTTTACAAACACTGCAGTTTTGGAAAGAGTTTGGGAAAGTTCTACCATAGATATTGCTAAGTATACTGACCCACATTGGCCTGAGGTTGTGATTTTTCTGCTATTTAACATTTAACTATCTTGTGATAACTAATCTCCATAACAAAGCCCCATTTTAATTATGTGTAATCTGCTGGTTTAATGCTAAAAACATTATATAGAGTAACAAGCAGTAAATCAATGTTTCAAAATATCTACAGCAGTTAATAGTCACCTACTGACTACAGACTATGGTTTATATGTGACAAGAAACTGTATTAGATAATTTTCCTGTTTTGTTGATATCCTCTTCTTCCTCCATCTCATGTTTAGGACCGTGTGGGTGCAGGGCTACCAACAACCATGGCAGTGGGTAACATCATATGCATTGGCACAAGCCATGGCCTCATCCTTGTCTTTGAGCCTACTCAGGCTTTGAAATTCTGTTTAGGATCAACACAGGTAAGTACAAAAATGTATTTAGATGCTGTTTATGAAAGTGAATAATAATCTTGAAGAAAATGTATACACTTTCTTTATGTTGTCTTGTTATTGCTAATAATCTTTTTGGTTAATGTCTCATGTTGTTTGTGGCAGTTGGGAGAGCAGTATGGATCTGTGTCTGCTCTGGCCCTCAACCATGACTGCACGCGCCTCCTTGCTGGTTTTGCCAAGGGTCAGATTTGTGTCTTTGATCTGACATCCAGCAAGCTCCTTCAGACAATCTCTGATGCCCACACACCATTCACAGCTGTTTTGCATTTAAAGGTATATGTAGATATTATTTGATTTTAAATTGATACATTGCTAGGAATATATACTTATAGATCTTCCACATGCTTAAAAGTCTGGAAATTTGTCTGATTTTAACTTAGCTTCTCTCCTCTCTGTACAGTGGACAGACTTTCCTGGAATGGCTGTCATTAGTGACAGTGGCGGGTCTGTCTTTGAACTCTCCATCAAGAGGACCATGGGGCTCAACTCCAATGAGTCTCGTTGTATATTCTCAGGCAGTCGTGGGGAAGTCTGTACCATTGAACCCCTGTTGATGTCACAGTTCCGTGCTACCCCTGTTTCAGAACCAGTCATATTGGCAATGGCTACTATATCAAAGGTGTGATAACTGTTCCTTTCCCTGGAAGAGTGCTTGAATGAAATAGCAATGATTATGATTACAGCAACAATTGGAACAGCAACAGTGTTATCTGATATTGATGTAAAGACTGTGATGATGAAAATGATGATTTGCTCTTTTCTTTTCTTCATTTCTTTGTGCTTTTATGATACAATACAATGCTATTTCTGTTGTTTAAGCCATTTTGTTATACATCTAGTAGTTCATATATATTATATCCACTCTTTATTTTTGCTTAAAATATTTGTAGACTGATATGTCATCCATAGATTCTCAAAATTTTGTGAAAGTTTTCTGCAATTTCCTTATAACCAATGTAATTTCAGGTCATTGTGGTATCTTTGAGGCCACAGTTGAAAGTATTGTTCTCTCACCCACTAAAAGCCTCTGCATCTACGCTCCCCCTCTTGGCTTGGCAATTTGTGGTGATACAAATGCCTGATGGAACAAGAGTAATTGATCCTGTGTTGGCCTTTGGTCGTGAGAAAAATGTGTATTTTTATCAGGTAATTAGGGTACTGTATGATCTCAGATCTTTGATTTTCTACTTCTTAGAAAAAGAAATAACCCACGTTCATGCATTTCCTGTATCTGACATGGTGAAGATTTCTGTGGATCACCTATGAAATTAGTATACTTTATATGTTTATAGTAGTAGAATTGTAGCAACTTAATGAAATATGATT